CGCTATGAGTCGGAACCGACTTCACGGCACATAACAACAACAACAACACTGTTTAAATAAATGTATCAGGGAAACATTTCCTAAGACACATTTTCTTAAAGATTAAAAAATGCTTAAAACTAAGTCCCAATATATAATTACTTCTTTTTTCTCCTCTTCTTTCTGCCTGTCATCCATTCTTCCTTCCATCTCTTTTTTCCCCACAATAGAATGGTAAAAATAAAATTATAAGAGTAAAATAATCTTTTTCAGTTGTTGTTTCATTTTAGTTATTAGAATTTCACACAAAGTTAAAATTTCCAAATTCTATAATCATTATAAATCTTTTCCTTTAATATGTCAGATGAATTATATTTAAGTGTCTTCTTCTACAAGATGGTTTATTTTCTACTTATATGTTGTATGTAGTTTGATAAACATAAAGCGGTAGTCATATTTAAATAATAGGTTGCAACAATGTTTTAAACGTAATAAGTATTAGTAAGAGACTAACAAATAGGCATTACTAATAATCGATGAAATAAAATTAAATAGTTTTAGTTCATTTTCCTTTATACACAGGCTTAACCTTTTATTTCTTTTGCTTCATATTAAATACTGAGTTTTAAACATAACTTTTAGACTGTTGATTAGTTATATTATTAATGCCCAATAGCAAGAGAGTGTAAATGTAATGTCAGAATAATAATACAAATGAATTTTATATTACACTTTCAAATGATGATAGATACTAATGATGGAAATTATACTGACAGGAGTGTCTTAATATTTGTGTTGATTAATATTATATATTTTAATAAATTTAAAATGATATTATGGTTGAAAGTCAATGAAGAAACAATATCCATAGGAATTATTTAACTATATGCATTTTACATTTTCAAATTACCTTTGATGGAACACTTTTTCTGTCCTGTTTGTGATGTGTAATTTCATATACTGTTGTCTCTCCTAAGGACAATAATTACTTGATTCAGTTCTTGGATAAAATGATCTGTCACCATTGTTTGCTTTAAAGGATTTTTGCTCTAAAAAAAACCCAAAAAAAACTTTAACACTGAATACTGAGAGAAAAATTAAGGCACAGGGGACTTCAGTCCAGCTGTTGTGGTATAAATCAATATTTAAAATGCACAATAGTGATTTTTCTTCCCCAGAAAGCAGAGCTTTTGTACACTTAATTTCCTGGTTTATTAAAATATCCAACTTTGTCTGGGAAGGGCCTCTAATTAGGCTTTGGTTTCTGTTTAAGTTTAGTACTCAGTAATGGTTGTGTAAGAGTAGACATGACTGTATTTTAATATTTAATTCCTAAGTCCTGTTGGTGTTTGCTGAAGTTGTGAGTTTCTTGAATGGACAGCAACCATATTCCTGGTTGATTTAAGGATTTGCTGCTTACTGAGTTATTCTTTAATAGCTCATTAAAGCAAACAATGAAACATTTCCAAGTATTCATATCTAGGAAGGGATCACAATCCCATTGATTCTAAATATAGGGCTTAGTGAAAAAAAAAAAAAAAAAAAAGCTTCCTTTCTCCAAACTCTTGTTTGCAGGCTAGGAGCCTTTGGATATACCCCCTTACTGACTAAACTCTTCCATGTATTTCATTTATGTCCTAGAAGGTAATGCCTTGAAATTCTCTTTTACCATTTTATTACAGTGTTTGGTTTATGGTGAGACTATCATTTATTCTGATACTACATACCAAATGCACTGCTTTTGCAAAACCTGTTTTCCTTGTGCTCACATGCCCCTTTTCAAATGTCTATCTTGTGCCTCTGGCCCCCAGGGTGATGCATTGCCTGGGTGAAGTCATAGCAGAATCACAATGTCAATGTCAAGTTGGTAGCAACACACCACTTTGCCTCCGATCTTCCTGTTTCTTCTGACTCACTACCAAAAACTAAGGCTAGAGGTTAAAGAATGCGATTTATTAAATAATTCAAGTCATTAACCTGCAACCTACCAACCTATGGCAGCCTATTAAATTTACTCTGCCATGCTTCATGTTTGGTGTTTACTAATACTAAAGCATAATGCCTGTTTGCTTTACTTTTATTGCTACACACAAATGCAGTGTGGAAGGAGGAGGGAGAAAAAAAGGTGACAGGATTCACGCAAGGGGACAATAAGAGCAGCAGATTCACTTGCATAAAGAAGATTGAAGCCTCTCCTCCCTCCCTCCATCTCTCCGTATAGGCCCCAGTGCACATCTGCGTCACTTACAGGGGAGGAGGAGGCGCTGAGGCTGAGAGAAAATTGTACTGTGAGGACCTTGACAGCTTCACAGGCGGGCTTTTCCTTTTCTTCCCTCCTTATATTTTCTGGAATATATATTTTTCTCTTTTACAAGCTGACTCTATAAAACCACCCCTTCTCGCCTTGCAGAAGGCATTTGACTTTCTCAGAGATAGCTGGCAAGCTTTCAGACTATATCCTTGGAGAGGCCAGGGACAGGGGCGCAGGTGCACAGAGAAGACTAAGGAGTGCGCTTCTCTAGGACTTGGGCTCTCTGTCTCTCTGAGCTTTCCAGGCACTGAACTCAGACCTGCTAGGGCTGGAGCACCACCTTTTCGGCCAAGGCTCTGCCAAGGGTGCATCCAGTGAGATATACACAGCTGCCGCCGCCTCAAAAGCTTCGGAGAGCGCCTAGACCTACCTCCTTCGCGCATCTCCAGCCTTACAGGCATCCCTCCCTGCCATCACCACGGGGGCCCCAGCGTGAGGATCACAGATTCTCAGCCCTGGGTGCTCTGCTGCTGCCTCAATTTGCTGTCGACCGGTTCCCAACGTCCAGGTCCAGAGAACCTGCCGGCTGTTCAGCAGCGCGGCTTTGCGGTCCGCGCACCAGTCTTCGCAAGGCAGGGCGCACAGCCCACAGCGCCTTGAGTCTCTCTCGGACACAGAGGGCGCTTCCCGCCTCCCTCTCTGCCCCGGCGCTCTTCTGGCCTCCCCCACCTGCTGGCGGGTCTCCTGATTCCTTAGCTGCCATCCCTCTGCCTTCCTTGTGTGCAGCATGTCAGGCTCAGGGCGAAAAGACTTCGATGTGAAGCACATTTTGAGACTTCGCTGGAAACTCTTCAGCCACCCTTCACCTTCCTCCAGTGGTTCGGCCGGGGGCGGCTGCCTGCAACAGGACAGCAGTAGCAGCTTCGAGCACTGGGGACCCAGTCAAAGCCGCTTGCTCAAGAACCAAGAGAGAGGCAGTGTGAGCGCTTTCTGGAAGAAGCCTTCCACCTCTTCCTCTTCATCATCTTCCTCTTCATCGTCTCCCTCTTCTTTCAACCCACTGAATGGCACACTGTTGCCAGTGGCCACAAGGCTTCAGCAAGGGGCACCTGGACAGGGTCCCCAGCAGCCGGCCAGGACGCTCTTCTATGTGGAATCCCTAGAGGAGGAGGTGGTGTCAGCCATGGACTTTTCTGGACAACAAGAAAAAGAGCTGGTCCTACAAGAGCTCAAAGTGGAGCCAGCCCACTCTAGCCAGGCAACAGGTGAAGCATGTGGACACAGGTACCGTAAGTCCTCACGGGTCCTTCAAGCATCTTCCAGTTTCATTCATTTCCCCGTGTGCTCTTAGAGTTTCTAAACCTGAAACTTTCAGGTCACAATTTTTGGTGAAGTGATGCCAGTTCCCCTTTGCATGACCTGAAATTGTAGTATCTTTGAAAGTTTGCTTGTTAATTTCTAATTCTATTTCCTTATACATATGTCTTTGTGTGTGTGTGTGTGTGTGTGCGCACGCGCGTGTGCGCGTGCCAGTTTTCAGAGTTGTAACCACAAATTGAACATGCACGGATTTTGTTAACTTTTTAGATAAATGATTCTCAAATTTCTGAGATGAGACTAATCGTGTCATTAAATGACAGTAGACTACTTTTTACCTGATGTGCTGCAAAACCTACTTTAAAACCATCAAATTGCATCTCAGATCCTGGCCCTGCATCTAGCTTAACAAATTTCTAGGATCCCTCTGACTTGAGTCTATAGTCTAAAATTAATGAGGGGTACAAATTATATCACCAGACAACATTATCTTATAGTTCTCGGACTTCTATGAAATACCGTGTCAATATTATTTATCCTGATTTCCCTTTTAGCCCTTCTACTTTGTGTTCACTTTTGCCTTGTTCAGAGTAAATCCAGAATTAAACTGTTGCTGAGTCCCTTTGGATTTAACAATCATGATTTGTTGGCCGAGTATTGGGATTAGGTATCCATAGCAGTCAAGGTGAACATGTATTTCCAGTTTATTCCCAATATCATACTTGTTTTTATCTAATTTTTGCTGTTTATAAGATGTATACAAAATCTGTCAAATAAGTAAATCTCCTTTGAATTTTTACATTTTTTGAGAATTTATATTATTATTCTGTACTTCACCATGACTGGCATTTGCATATAGTGAAGACATGAAAAGATTTTCATTGAAAGTCATATGATATCAGGGTATATTATTGAAGAAAAAAACATCAGAGTGATACAGGAAAATTACAATAAATATGTTAATAACTTTTAATGATTTCTCAAGAAAACAATTGGATAAGTAAACAACTTTTTAACAGTTAATGATTGAATCAGCTGTTTAAAACTAAGTTGTAAAAACAAATAATATGTATAGGTGTTCTTTATGTTGACACAAGTGGACTAAGTTTGAGCCACAACAAAATTATTCCTAAAAATTTTCACCTGACTATGGAGATTTACAATGTATTTTAAGAGCCTTGAAGATTGTCTAATATTAATTGGAAGATAATAAAAGAGTCTTATGACATTTGATATAATATGAGAATCCTTCACTGAGGGATATGTTTATTTTTATAATTTTCAAATAAGTAGAAGTTCTCCCCATTGCATATTGTTAGTTCTGTTGAATCAGTTCTGACTCAAAGCAACCCTGTATAGAGGCTGTAAGTCTTTGTGGAACAGAAGTCTCACCTTTTTCCTGTAGAGTGGCTAGTGGCCTCAAACTGCTGTGGTTAGCAGTCCAGTGTTTATCCTGCACAACAACCATGGTCCTATACATATGGTTGTTGTTGTTGTTAGTGCCTTCGAGTCAGTTTTGTCTCATAGCAATACTATAGAGGGTTTTCAAGGTTCAGTGGGGGGCTTTGAACCACTGAACTTGTGGTTAGCAGTCTGGGGCTACTAGTTAGTAAAATATTTTAGCAAAATAATTATAATTTTGGATCCAAGGAAGTTCTTTGATTTAAAAATTTATTAGTTACCTATCATTTTATGCCTTGTTTTTTCCCTTATAAAAAAAGTTGGTCCTTATTCCTTTTGGAAAAAAGTCATTTTTTCTCAAAATAAATTGGAGAAAACTATTAATGAATACTTAGCAATTCACCTTATATAATTAAAACAAATTAGGTTAAATGCTTACTAATTACTACTCTATAAAAAATGATATTTTGGTAGCTCAGACAGTTATGAAAAATAATAGATTAATAGTTTTTTAAAATTTATTTCAGTTTTGTAAAGCATTCAATTCACACTGAAATATCTGAAATTCTAGGGATATAAGATGTTGAAAATATATAAAGGCAATATTTGCTTTATAAAAACACATTTTTAAATAAATAATATATTTTCAGGAATAATTTCTTCAGATTACCATGCAAACTAGAAAACTTGAAAATACAGATTTATAATGAACAAGCACCTAAAAAAAAACCAATTAATAGCTCAATTTAAAAAATTTGAATATAATATTGTGTTTTCAGTCACAAACAGTTGTAATTGTTAATCATTCTGAAAATAAGAGACTGCCAATCAAAATCATCATTGTTCTGAGAAACTGTGTATCCTATGATAGCTTGCATGCAGGATATATTGAAAATCAGGTGTAATTTTATTTTACAAGTCATAATAATATTTAAATGCTTTAGATAAATCTGAATTTCTCACTAGACAAATCATTTAACACTGATAGTATCTGATGTATTGTGTGTTTGACGGATTTGATGGAAACTTTCATAGAGCATTGGGGCTGTGCTCATGATTGATTGAAATCACACTACTAAACTCAGCAATTAATTACTATCAATAGATATTATTCAATATGTGGTAAGAATAGAGTTTACTTCTTGGAAGAAGATACTGCATGTCCACAGTAAAACACTGATTGGAAACTTTATTACAGTTTAGAATGTTTACAAAATAATCAATAATGTGGATTTACATTTTTGCTACTATTCTATCATAACGCATTGGTAAACTACACGGTATTTACACTGATCAGAAAGTAAATTGAGTATATAAAGCCTACATGAGAATTATGATTACATATGTCATTGTTTTATTACCAAACTACAATGTCATATTTGTATTTAGCATTTTGTTTTAAGATATCTGATTTCTATGCAAAGTTTAACTTCACATATACAACACAGGTTGACTCCTCTTCATTTGGCCACATATTAGAGTACTGATTTATAAGTGTAAGTATCTCAGTTGTTTTAACCATTTGTTAGAACTTCAACTAGAGACACATCATGGAAGGTTGTCCTTAATCTCAGGATTCTACAAGGTCTAATCATTAAGAACAGAAAAAGAAAGGCAGTAGGGGTAAAATGGTGAACAGATTTGCTGCTGAACCGAACTCTGTTTTCCTTTTGTATGAACCATACACAAACTTATCTCAGTATTCTTACTGTTTGATGATCACACCACTAAGATTTCTAAGTTTTACAGCATTATACATCTGATCTATGCTATAAATAACTTTTCAATGTTCTATAAAAACTTCAATACTGAAAACTTTCTTTCCTGTCTATTCAGATGACCATATATTTTCATTGTGAATATTTTACTCCAAAATACCATATGCAGTAAACTAAGACTTATACACCACAGAAAAATATTTGTATTCTTGTAGATTGTAGAGGTGTGAATGAAGATGCCAAGTTCTTATCTGCTTGTAATTAGTTTTCTGAGTGTTTATGTGGAGCAGTCATTCCATGGCATGACGTCAGTTATTCACCATAAGCTGTACTTCAAGATTTGCACCTCTAAGCTTTGTCCTCCCCATAAACTCCTGTCTCACACACTTACATTTCTGATGGGCATATCTGGTAGATAGCAAAAAGACTTATCAACATGTACAAATCTAAATTCCTAAACTTTCTTCTCTCTTTTTCAATCTCCTTCCTCTCTACATGAGAGAATGTTGTTGTTGAGTACCGTGGAGTCGGTTCCGAGTCATAGCGACCCTGTACAGGGTTTCTGAGGCTGTAAATCTTTACAGGAGCAGAAAGCCTCATCTTTCTCCCGCAGAACAGCTTGTAGTTTCGAACTTCTGACCTTACATTTCTCAGTCCAATTAGTAACCACTACGCTACCAGAGCTCCGAGCTCTATGTATATGAGGTTGCACAAGACAGAAATCTGAGATGATATTTTTTAACTTCCTCTCCCATGTCATATCCAACACTTCACCCAGTTCAGTCACTTTTACCCAGAAATAATTCCCTTGGATTCATTTTATTTCTCTACAGCTTCCTATGTTCATCGTCTATACTTAATATAAGTACTGGACTCAAATCACACTGTCAGCAGTTCAAACCTGTCAACCACTACACTTGAAAAATATGAGGCTTTCTATTCCGTAAAGATTTACAGCTTCATAAACCCTATCCAGGGTTGCTGTGTGTTACAATTGACTCAGTGGCAGTGGGCATCTTGTTTGAAGTGAAGTGCACCTGTTGTCTGTATCGTCACCCTTCATTCATACCATTCCCCACCTTTGCGCCACTTTTGCCTGCTATAATCCATTTTCCACACTGATGTCAATACAAACTGTAAAATGATCATTGATACTGTCTTCCAATTCCCTCTCTATTCATTTTGTTTTCTCCAGACGATTTCCCTTAAGTCTGTGGTCACAATATATACCATGGACCACGAAGCTCAGAGTGATCTGTCTAGGTGTTTAATATGCCATCCTTTTCCTCATCCTCTGCCTTGACAGAACCAAATTTTCTTGTTTTTTTACTATTTCCTCACTGACTCTAGACCTTAAATACATGTTTGATTTCCACATATATCTATTTCTTTTTCCTTAACACCCTCTGACAAATTCTGACAAATTTGTTCCTCTTCTTTACTGAAAAGTCTTGAATATAAATCATGGAACTTGATAATATAAGCATTTCTTGATCTCAGAATAATTTGTATTTCCCTGTTTTGTTTTCTTATATTAGCTGCTATCTACTTCCTTCTCAATTTATAATTGTAGAATTGCTTTTATTGTTGTTAAGTGCCGTCAAGTAGGTTCCAACCCATAGCGACCCTGTATAGAGTTTCTGAGGAGCTGCTGGTGAGCTTGAACCACCGACCTTGCAGTTCAAATGTCCTTGCAGTCTTGTGCATTAACCCATAGTGCCACACCAGGACTCCTAATTGTAAAGTATATGATATTAATTTCTGTGTTGATTTGATTGCTTTACTATAACTGTTACTCCCAACTAAACAGGGGTGTGTCTGTCTTATCTGCCATGATATCCTTCTCAT